CCTGTACAAAGGAAACATTACTCGCAGAGTGCTCTGCCAATAGCGAACACGAAGCATGTTTGCGGTGTTGCCATTCCTCCATTCATCAGCTGTTTCTGTTTCCACCAAGGTTGTTTCTTCTCTCCGTCCCCAAACAAAAAAGAAATGGTGTGCAAACATTAAGGAACTGGTCGTCATTAAGCAGTTACAAGAGCGTCGGGTTGGATATACATGATCTTTCATTCGCCAGTCGATCTAGTTTATCGTGAGGGACACCTCTCCTGAATGCGTGTGCGCTAATATAACATAGCCCATATCCCAACCCGACTCGACGAAGGCTTTGTTTAAGTACGTCCGTCTATCGGTGTGAAGCTAGACGTCTGCCAGAAATGTTTTGCTGCAAATGTTTGAATGTTACGATCAAAACAAAATCAGCCGAGCCCCCCGGGGTTGATGTTCTGAGCTGTGAGCTGCTTGACAGCAATGATCCCTTCTTCAAGGAGGTAAGACATTGCTTGCATATTAAAGCTAACCTGGCAGCATGGCGACGGCCGTATACATAAATCCACTCTTTGCCTTTGAATAAGCTCCTTGCTAGAGTTTACTGGTCAGTCGTCATGAAAAGAGCTATTTTACGTTAATTAATTTTATCACGGCTGTAGCTCTCAATGCTCATACTTAATTCGCTAAGTTACCATTTGATAACTGATGTGTTTTCTTTGCAGGATTTGGTTGAAGCAGAGGTGATCGGCATTGCGAAGGAGCAGCCATGTCTTGTTCAGGTACGAAATGTGGTCTGTTGGATCATACACAGATGTATAAATTGTGGCATAGATACTCATGCCTTGCACAGGGAAAGGGGAGCAGCTTGTGTCCTGATAAACTCAAATACTCTAGTAAGTACACCTGTGAGAAAAATAGACTATAAATTTGCTTATTATCAGCATTCTAAGTTTTTTTTTGTTTTTCTAGAGTGACAAATCAGCCATAGGAGCCTTGAAGTCTTCAAGTTCATTCTCTCCAGTATTTCGCGTAGTTGTAACAAGCAATTTGGAGACTGATGCTCTTGTGGAAAACATGACAGGTGCTTAATTTAAGACAAATTATGTCTGCTTCTCTAGGGCTCAGATGTATGAAGATTGTTTTATTGCCTTTCAGCAGAATATGCACGTGGAAGCATGCAGACCACATTAGCAGCTCTGCAACAACAATTAACGGAAGCCCTTCAACGAGAAGCTCAGTCAGTAGAAGAAAGAGTTCGTCAATACTCTGAGCAGCTGTACGCTGAGTTGGAGGAATTTCGTAGCAAAGCTCATGATGATCACAGGACCTTATCAAGGTACAACATACAATCTTCTTGTTTAACAATGATATTAAATCTTAAAACTCATGGTAAACCTTGTAAAACTTTGGTAAATAGTGCTTCACAGTTGACTCTCTTTGTTCCTAGGCTGCTGCTTGAAAGTTGCAGCAACAGTTCCTCAGCACAAGGCAGCGTCCAGGGTCAACCTGTTCCACCAAGGGGTCAGTTCATCTCACTGCCCCCTCCTCCACAAAGGTTTCAGACTATTGATGAGGGTATTCGCCACCCAATGGCCCCCCTCAACCAAAACACCTCAAGGTCCAGAGATTCTAGACGCTATTCAAATCCTAAATTAAACATGTCTCCGGTAAGTATTCAATTAAAAACAGAATTTTACAGTGTATTTAAACCCGGTTGTAAATTATTTAAAAAATTTCTGCTGTAGACAAAGACAGTCTCAAGACCAGTGCCCACTGTTAGAGTGCCTCATGAAGCTGCCTCTGACTCTGAGGGCTTGTTCCAGTTAGACGGCATGGATGAAAATCCCCCAACGACTTTCCAGTCTGAAGATGAAACTGACACTGAGGGTGAGCTCCCATGCTTCTATTTTATGAAAGATAGCATTCATTTATTTTGTATGTCTATGTGTTAATCATTGTCATTCCTTTAGTTGAAGCTGGTGGCCATGAGGATGGTATAGCTATGTCTCGAGTGCAGTCAAGCATCTCCAATCTTGCCAAGTCCTTGCCTGTCTCTGTCCCTGTTTTCCCGGGTGCCCGAGGCCACGACAATGAGTTTGAAGAAGATGATCTTGTAAGTGTCTGCTATTTTACCTTTCTCTCATCTGCATTTCTTGTTACACCAGTCTTTGGTTTTCTGACACCTTTATCTTTACAGTCACCACGTGATCCAATGGATATTGCTGCCAGCATTAAAGCTCTCGCAAGGAGTGTTCATGGTGACACTGTGTTTGGTGATCTTCCTCGGCCACGATTCAGTTCTCAGATTTGATTCCTGGCTGCTCATCAATAGATTTTGTTTTTACTTTGATTCAACATTTGTGATTTTGTGCTGTTTACATTGTGTGCCAAACTTCATTGTGATGGTTCTAGAAGTTTGACCTTTATTACCCATTTTTACAAACTTAAAAAAAGTTTTATTTTTTGAAAGTAATGTTTTCTTTTCTTTAAATACACCTTTCTTTAAAGACATTCAATCTAGTTTTGTTTCCTCCCGGTTTCATTAAATCCATTGGGACAGTATGTGCTTCACACTAGATGACTCACTACAGATGATTTAGGTTGGATCTTTAATCTGCTGCTGTCCTTAAAACTCCTGTTATGCCTTTTCAATATTTTATTTTGTCCTGTAAACAAGTTTGATCCTATTTGCCCTTTGTATGTAATTGAGTATTCCATTATTCTTGGCATGAACTCGTGCCAAGTTATGGATGCCAAGTTAGTACTAGCCAAAACTAATTTGTACCTGTGAAGGCGTTTGCTAGTCCGCCGCTGTCCTCAGACCACTGAATACCGCAAGAGACGAGTGCAGAACATCTCCGAGGAGTGACACCTAGTCAGAGGTCAGCGCTTAAGTGTTTCTTTTCTGAACATTTACAGCTGAATATTTTTAAATTTAAGACCACCCTATTATTGCTGCTGTCAATTTTGGGTACATTTGGGAAATGTCTATCAATTTAGTCCGAAATGGCTTGTTTTGTTTTCAACAAGGCACAGAAACTTTAACAATATAAATTATTTCAAGCTTAATTTGCTCAATGTCAGCTTTTTTGAAAATTGTTATTTTACTGTTATAAGGTGTACAGAAATGCATGAGAGTATCTTTTTTTTTTTTTTTTTTTTTTTTTTTTTGTAATCTGAGTGACTTGGTAACTTGTACTTTACAAATTATTTGTTATTCCAAGCATTCAAATTGTTTTCAAATTTTTCACTACATTACAGTATGTATATCTGAATTATGACTTTGTTTGAGAAGACTGCTTTTATATACATACTTTTTTATATGCATATATATTTTTGTGTTTGGTAGTTTAGTTGTCTTCTGTATCAGATAATTACCGTATCTGGCAATTGCCTTTGAATGATGGAAGTGCAAGTGATTTTGCTTCCAAGCATTAAGTTTGTTATTCTTTCTACACAAATATTTTGTTACACAGTTCACATAGATTTGTCTAATAGACATGCATGTTTATGTCCTGAAATGAATGAACACAGCATACTGTATCCCGAAACGGGAATTCAAAAGTGATTTGCCATTGTTTTCAGGCTGTTTTACAGGGTTTTCTTTCTTTTCAAGAGCCAGAGTTACTCTTGCAGAGCTTTCAATGTCGTGCGCTCAGTTCTGAGCATTTTGAGTTTTGTATGTGTATACACGTCTCGCGATAGAAAGGTTTTATAAAAAATAAAACTAATCAAAATCACAATAATTTTTGTTGTTGTTTCTGCTTTTTTTACTTTTCCTGTTTTATTCTTTCAAATATGAGTGTGGGCAACTTTGAAAGACGCAAGCATAAAGATACAGACTCAAGATAAAGATGAAGCTGGCCGCTCAGCCCGAGGGAAGTACGCAAGCACGCAACCAATTTCCCGCCCATCAGCGGATCTCTGCCTGACACCGCAAACAGCTGAACGACGGGCCGCACACTTTCCGGTCCGTCTATCTACACTACGTCGTCTGCTGTCCGCCTGTCCTCCCTTTTCGGTCCTCCTTCAAAACCCTCACCTCTCAAACGAAAGCTCTGACATGTTACGAAAAACCTTGATTCGAAATGAAGTGGTGCAATTCTGTAAGCGAGCTGTTCAACCGACATCAGTGCGACAACTAGGGCCAGCATGTCTAAAAGCGTGTCAATTCCACAGGTAAACTAGACAGTATTGTAGGGTTAATGTGACCTTCCTTCTGGATCCACTACAGTCTTATCCGTTTGACCTTAACCATCTTTGCGAATCAAATGGTGTCTGTCCAGCGTCTCGTGAGGCCAGTATGTGACTTAATTTACCTAATTTCTTTGAACCATCACATTAAATTTAAATCCTATTCACTTGGCACTTTGTCAATATAACCTATGATATAAATTCTCTCTATTTTTGATGTGTTCTGTGTTGTCTGCTTGTCAATTTGCATATGCCTTGAAACTTTTTTGATTTTTAGCATACTGGTCTAAGTTCTTTTTGATCTCTAGGTAGCAAAGATACTTTAGGTTTTCTCTCTTATTTTGACTATTATTTAGAATAAGAATAGTTTTCTCTATTTGAAATAAATGTTTGATTTTCAGTTTAAAAGTGAATCAGCCATGTGTTCTCTCTGGGGCCCACCAATTGGTGGATACTCGACAAAAAGTTCGTCATTACTGCCCAGATTTACCCCCTCATCAAAAGGTTCTGCTACCTGCTCTCTCACCAACTATGGAATTGGGTACTATTGTCAGCTGGGAGAAAAAAGAAGGTATGTTCCATCCATCATTATATTCTGGTTTAAAATACATATTTTTAAACTGTGTGGTAAAATTATTTTGTATGTAAATCCAAATTGTATTTTCATTCTAGGTGATAAACTCAATGAAGGGGACCTCTTAGCCGAAATTGAAACTGATAAAGCAACCATGGGCTTTGAAACACCAGAGGAAGGCTATCTTGCCAAGATTCTTGTTCCTGCTGGTTCAAAAGAAGTTCCTATTGGGAAGGTCTGTTTCAGATGCCTATCCTCATCCTTTTAATTTTGTTGTCATGTGTTGTTCTTTCATTTTATCTTTTCCTGTTTTAGCTTGTATGTATTATTGTGGAGAATGAGTCGGATATTGCAGCGTTCAAGGACTATAAAGACGATGGGTCAAGCGCCCCTGCCAAACCTGCTGCACCTGCAGCCCCCGCCGCGCCTGCCCCAGTTGCATCTGCTCCTAGGGCTGCTGCCCCCCCACCTCCTGCTCCAATGGCCTCTGCTCCAATCCCTGCCCCTGGTTCTGGGGACAGAGTGTATGCAAGCCCACTGGCCAAACGTCTAGCAGCCGAGAAAGGACTCAATCTAGCAGTATGTAAAAGTCTTGCTTAAATGCGCTGCTTCACCAATACATACAACTCCTGCACATTTTCTGGTGTTACAGTCTGTCGGCGGTGGATCTGGTCTCTTTGGTTCTGTTACTGCAGCTGATCTCTCTAGAGCATCAGCAGGAGCTCCCAGTGCTGCACCCCAGGCTGCCGCTACTGCTGCGGCTGCAGGTGGTGCATTTACCGACATCCCTCTTTCCAGCATGCGAAGTGTTATTGCAAAGAGACTTCTGCAATCAAAACAGGTATGACCTTTAAATTTTATTTAACTGTAAACATGTCTGTAATGGTGCTTTTAAATTACTTGAATACTTGAAATTTTCTCCTTTAGACCGTGCCCCATTATTATCTTACTGTCGATGTTAATATGGATGAATTATCAAAATTGCGTAAGAAGCTAAATAGCACACTGGAAAAAGAGGGTATCAAGCTGAGTGTAAATGACTTTATAGTAAAAGCTACAGCACTTGCCTCCAAAAAAGTTCCAGAGGCCAATTCAGCATGGATGGACTCATTTATTCGAGAGTAAATGTCACCTGAATTTTTTAAATCTTTCTTTGACGTTTGGAAGGGTTTTTCCTCTAAAGCTTTATTTTCCTTCTCAAAATTCAGATACCATTCAGTTGATGTCAGTATAGCTGTTGCGACAGATAAGGGACTTATTACACCAATTGTATTTGGAGCTGATAAGAAAGGTTTATCAAGGATCAGACAAGAAACCAACATGCTTGTCTCCAAGGCTAAAGAGGGAAAACTTCAGCCACATGAGTTCCAGGTGATGAGAGTAATGGTGTTTTAAGGACAATGATCCTCTCAAAATACCACAGTAAGAACTTTAAATAATCTAATCTATTATTTCTTTGCAGGGTGGTACCATCTCTATTTCAAACCTTGGCATGTTCGGAGTTAAGAATTTCGCTGCAATTGTAAATCCCCCTCAATCATGCATTTTAGCAGTTGGTGGAACAAGAGTACAACTCTTGCCCGACAAAGATTCTGAATCTGGGTAAATTTGTTTTCAGATATTACCAAATTATCTTGTTACATTTTTAATTTTTTGATGCATTATTTTTTCTCAGTTTCAGGAAAAGTGATATCATGTCAGTGACCTTAAGTTGCGATCATCGTGTGATTGACGGTGCTGTTGGAGCCCAGTGGCTATCAGCCTTCAGAGGTTACCTGGAAAACCCTCAAACTATGCTTCTATAGGGAAATAATTGATATATTGGCACAAACTTTGCTAATATTGATCATCTGTCAGTGCCATGGACATTCTTTCTGTTTCTTTTGCACTGTCATTTGTTATACCAGTGTTTCATGCAAACTGTGAGAGGGCAAGTGTATGACTTGTTTTGTAAGTGATGTTATAAATACTATATTTTATTTTGTTAATTCTTGTTTTCTTTGTTTGCCCTTATAATTTTTTAGCTATACATGAAATGTTGATGTATTCCTAAAAAGTTACATGTTACACATTCTTTTTGTCCTGTTTTTAATGACGATAGCTGTGCAGAAGTTAACTGCAGTGTCTGTTGTATGATTTTTAGTATTTTTTGATTTTAAAAAGAGTTCTAGTTTTAAAAATCATATTTATTGTAAAGTATTTATACAAGTGTTGAAGGTCTGTTGATGCTGCAAATGTATCTGCTTAGACTGGAGATACATTATCTCAATCTATATTCTAGTAATAAGTCTTCTCTACTCTCTCACAGCTTCTGTCTTGAAGATACAGTATATACTGAATTTTGCAATCAGTTCACATCTGAAAAAAAGTACCAGGTACCAAATTATAATTTCTGATATCTCTTTTTCATTTCCTTTTACCAATTTTCTTTTTTTAAAAATAAATTTCATTTTTGGAGACTTAACTGTCTTGCAGAGAAATCTTTGCTGGTTTTGTCAGCTAATTCTCAAAATATTCTGAGGCACATATATTTAGTCCTGATCACATACTGGAGGAACATTCTGCCTTTTTTACAATTACATTCAAATCAATGTGTAATAGATGATTGTACAATTGTTTAGTGGATTGAGTGGAAGTATCAATATTGTGTAGAAACTTTTACAAAACACCATTGCCCAAATTTTTAACACTGCCAAATTAGTTCTGGGATCTGCGTTCAACATGGTTAAACACTTGAATTTTTGTTTTTTGAACAGATCATTTAAAGAGAATCATAGCACGTAGGCACTCTTTAGAGAACGTAAGCTCTTCTCAGTTACCTCCTTATTTCTTGGGAAACCATTGTGAAGTACAACTTTCAAGCTGATACCAGGCTTCTATATATTTTTTTTTCCGTTACTGTTTACTTAGCATGTAGTACAATGAGCAAGTGTTGATGATGTTATGTACAGAGACATGCCTATTACCAAATACAGTTGAAATAATTATGACTTGTTTTTAACTTTTTAATTTTTTTGTTTAAAGGACATGATAATGTACTTCCACACCAGTTTACTCCCCCCCTTCCGACATCATGGAGTTAACATCCTAACGTCCTAACACCCCCATCTTTCTTTCTCTTTCTGCCCTGGACTGGAAGCCTCAAGCCTCCTGCCCCTGCCCCCACCCCTACCCCACCCCCTTCCCGATCCCCCACTTCCCACTTCTACATTGAAGGCTCACGGACCCATTCCGCATCCGCACGTTGAAATGTCCTCGAATTGGGAAGATTTCTTCAATGACAACCGTCCGCCCCCAGATTTGGATGAAAACAGGAAGCTAATAGAAGAGTTTTGTGACAGACATTTGGAGAGGAAATCTCGCATTGTGCTAGTCACAGTATGTATCTATTTTGCTCTTTAATTACTTTTCATATCAGTTCCAATTTTTCAATTTGTATGAGCCTTAGATCTATTTACATTTTGTAATCAAAGTTAAAACTTACTTATATATAAAGATTCCTTTATATATTTTCATATATCAGACATAACCTTTAATTAAACTGGCATTATCCATTTAGATTTTGTCCTTATCGACATTTGTCGGAACCTATGGTACAATGCTGAGGACGAAAAGGATCACCGCAGCTGCTATATTTCAATAAAGTCTGAATTAATAACATGACCTTGTACGCTTTGAATGTAAATGAATGTAAATGGTTTAAATTATTTCCATTTGCCATAGTCTGGAGGAACCACTATCCCCTTGGAACATCACACAGTCAGGTTCGTTGACAACTTTAGCGCTGGAACAAGAGGGGCTGCATCCGTGGAATATTTCCTAGACGCTGGTTATGCTGTCATATTTTTGTACAGGTATTTACGTTATTTTTTGTTTTTCCTTTTTAAAAAAATTGAAATGTATTGCCTTTTCACAATTTTTCTTTGCCCAATGACTTTGAAGGCACAAATCAATAGAACCCTTTCTGCGACATTTGATGGGATCCAAGTTTTTGGATATGCTTGAGATTGGTTCTTCCCCTGTAGGTAATCCCTCAATCTCTGGTAATTATCAGTTTTTTTCAGGCAAAATTTTTTGAATGCCATTATATTTTTGTCAAATTTTTCACAACATATTTTCTTTTGTAACAAAATATTATTTTGTTTAGTTAAATCAGCTGAAGCTGAACGCATCTTGCCTATTTTAACCAAATATAAAGCTGTAAAAGAGTCTGAGACCCTGGTGCAGGTTGGATTTACATCTTTGTCTGATTACCTTTGGCTGTTGAGAATTGTTTGTGAACAGCTTGCTCGTTTTGGTCCACAATCAATGCTGTATTTAGCTGCTGCAGTATCAGATTTTTACATGCCCCCTCAGGAAATGGTTAGTACTGGATCTTTCATGACAATTCTTCAGTTATTTCACAGAATCTTTTATCTTCTATGTTCAATCTGTTGCAGTCTACCCATAAAATGCAATCTGCAGATGGTGCTCCAACCATCCAGTTTTGTTTGGTTCCCAAATTTTTGCAGCCCTTAGTTAGCTTGTGGGTTCCAAAGGCTTATGTGGTTTCTTTTAAACTAGAAACTGATGAAAGTATACTTATAAAAAAGGCCAGAGGTGCTCTAGAGAAGTACAAGCATAATGTAAGTAATGAGAAGCATGACTGACTAGGTGCTCCCTTCACTTTGTGCAGGGGGGGGGGGGAGAGATAATCCTAAATGTTTCAACAAAACATCAGTAAATTTGGGATACGCTCATCGCCATAAAAGTTACTCTTCTCTCATTTTTTACAACAGTTAGTTGCTAAGAAACAGTTTTTTTCTTTTCTTGTTTAGGTTGTCATCGGTAATTTATTGCAGTCCCGTAGACACCTGGGTGTTGTTGTCACACAAAACAATGCTATGAACATTGTATTGACTCCGGAACAAGAAAAACAGGGGTTGGAAATTGAAGAATTTTTTGTTCAACATCTTCAAACTGAGCACTTGAAATTCATTACTGAAAATGTTCCTCAAGAATATTGAATCTATTTGAATTGAAGGAAGAGGAGGTGCAGCCAGTGCTGCAGGCTGCTTTGTAGACGACACTAAAACTGAATCTTAGCAAAAGAAATGAGGACTTTGAGGTCATGTTTTATCTATAAATCAGTGTAATCTGATCTTATCTGGAATTGGTCAAGGTTAACAATTATATCTGTGATATGTCGTGTATACTTGAATAAATATTTTAGAACATTCTATTTGCCATTTAATCGTCCACTGAAATCTAAAAGCGAAGGGAAAGAGGGAAAAGGAGATGTAGGGCACAATAAGTGCATCACCCAAAGATGTTGGACACTTTTGTACTGTAGGGTAGCAAAAGGGACTGTCTGGGTGGTGATATTTAATCTGGAAATAAGTAGTTTCTAACATTTAAGATCACGTTTGGAAAATATCACAATTGTTTTATTTGGACACTTTCATTCCTCACATGTGTTTGACAAAAAAAGTAGTTAAAAAAACAAACAAACAAAAAGGTAAAAACAACAATTGACCGTGTAGCAATTGAGGTGTCTGTCTTATCCTAGATGGGCGCGTATTCACAGGCAGATGAGTGCAACGATCACGATCACGACAATATGTACAAGGACGTAGGTGGCGGGCGCGGTGGCGAGTCCTGCGAGAGAGGGGGCCAGGGTGCGCCGCACCTCGGCCTGCTCGCCGCGGAGCCGGGGCCTGCCAGCCGGACAGGGCAGTAGACGAGTTACAATTAGTTTGCACAGCCACAAAATGACGCGACAGTTCTTTCCTCGAAGTAACGCCGGCGGCGACCACTGGGGGGAGGGGCGGGGGCTTGGGAGGAAGCCCGTGGACGAGGTCCGGAAGGGGGGGGGGGGGGCGCACGGTATGCGGTGTGCTGGACTCCTCACTCGAGGGGCAGCTGCTCGTGCACGAAAGTCCTGGAGCCGCCCTCGGCGAAGTCTGCGGCCGCGTGTCCGTCCCCGGAGAGCACCCACTTGGTGGTGAGCAGACCCTCCACGCCGACGGGGCCGCGCGCGTGGATGCGACCCGTGCTGATGCCGACCTCGGCACCTGCAAGCACAAGGAGCGTCAGCGTACGCACACACTCGCGAAGAGTCCTCCCTACCCTGCCTCCAATAGTTGAGTGCCCCATCATTTTTTGGTGCCCATGATTTAGCACGTTCAAGGCAGGCGGCGTGACCAGTATGTGGTCACGCCTTTGCTGGGTTTTCCCGCTCTCAAAATACAAGATATATGCACTGCCGCACTGAACGTGCTGAGAAGACCCTCAGATTAAGTTGGTTGCCCCAATAATGTTGTATCCAGGTAGGGTTTTCTCCAGAAAGTACGTCCGTTTTCCCACGTTTTCATTCCACAAGAGCTCAGCGCCTGCGACACTCGGGGTAGGCCAGCCCGCAGTGCGCGCGTGCACTGCAGGCACGATGGTGCCTACCTACCAGGCGTCATGAGCGCGCTTGCTGAGGGAAACTAGGCGGGTTCGTAACGGCGAATGACGGACGCACTCTCTGGATGATCCCTCAAGTAGACGGCCGTTTCCACGCTGACAGGGGCAGGGTGCGGGAAGGCAGCAGAAGTCAGCCTGGCCCCACCCTGCCCCCCGCTCGCCCGCTCACGCCGGCTGAACGGGGCACAATATACCAAAGTGCGTATCTCTTTTCCGGACCACTTACCGAGACCGAACCGGTAGCCGTCGGCGAATCGAGAGCTGGCGTTGTGGAACACGCACGCGCTGTCCACGTCGCGCTGGAACTTCTCGGCGACAGTACCTGTGGGAGGGACAGAAGGGTGAGAGGGTGCGCTATGTTGGCTGCCTCCACTAAGGATTTTTAAGTCGTCTTTTTTTTTTTTTTTTTTTTTTTTTTTTTTTTTTCAGAAAAGTGTTAAACTTTTCTAGAAAAAAAAATCGGAAAAAATTGAGACATTTCCAGAAAAAATTGTAAAAAATAACACTTTTCAGGAAAAAATGAAGAGGTAAAACAAAAAACTCTCGAACCCCAAAATACTTATTTTCCGGAAAATTAAAATCTCCAGCCTCGCCCACCTATACCCATGCCCATATCGCCGACGATCGCTTACTGTTTTCCGTGACGATGACGTCGGTGTGGCCGCTGCCGAACGTGTGGATGTGGTTGACGGCGTCGTCCAGGCTCTTGACCACCTCCACGGCGCACGCGAGGTCCGAGTACTCGGTGCGCAGGTCCTTGGCGGCGGGCGGTCCGAACGTGAGCCTCTGGTCGAGGCCGGGCCCGGAGAACAGGGTGACGCCCTCGCGCTTCAGCATGTTGCACACGTCCTCGAAGAAGGGCCCGTTCATCAGGTCCTCGTGGATCAGCAGGGTCTCCATGGCGTTGCAGGCGGCCGGGTAGTCACACTTGGAGTCGCGCACTGTGGTCGGTCAGAGAGGGGTTAGCAACTACAAGAGTAATGTTCGTATCGAATCTCAGCAAATCAAATAATAAAATTCGACCCCTCCTGAGGATCTAAAAGTAGCAGACGTCGTGTTGTACCTATTCTCAGTGCCTTGGAGAGGTCCGCGTCCTTGTCGACGTACACGTGGCACACGCCCTCGGCGTGGCCCATGACGGGGATGCCGCCGCTCTGCTGCTGGATGGAGCGCACCAGGTCGCTGGAGCCGCGGGGGATGATCAGGTCGATGTACTGGTCCATGGAGAGCAGGTCGGAGATTTCCTCGCGGGTGGACACGAGCGAGATGGCGTGGTCCACACCGGCCGGCGACAGGGCCTCCTTGACCAGCTCGGCGAGCAGCTTGTTGGAGTGCGCCGCCTCCTTGCCGCCCTTGAGCAGGAGGCCGTTGGCGGAGCTGATGGCCAGGGCGGCCACCTGGTGGGGAGGGGTAGACAGAGCAGTGGAACGGTCAGAGGGACAACTCGCATAGAAAACGCCGTTCCGTTCAGTTCAGTTCAGCTGATGCCAGCGACCAGCAGAGCGCCTGATGGGTAGGCCATCCACTTGGCCTGCAGTGCATGCGTGTACTGCGGGGCGGCCTGCCCCGAGTCTTGCAGGCGCTGAAACCGAATGCGCGCGGGCTGCTGAGCACACTCGAGTCCTACCTGGGGCAGGCAGTCGGGCCTGGACTCGAAGATGACGAGCAGCACGCCGATGGGCACGGTGACCTGCTTGAGGTCGAGGCCCTCGGCGAGCTTGGTCCTGCGCAGCACGCGGCCGACGTTCTCGTGGGAGGAGTCGGCGATCTGCTTGAGGCCGGCGGCGAGGCCGCGCAGCTTGGCCGGCGACAGCGACAGCCGCGAGAGCATGGGCCCGGCCAGCCCGGAGGCGGCGGCCACGCGCACGTCCTTGGCGTTGGCGGCCATGATGTCGTCCTGGCGCGAGACCAGCAGGTCGGCCAGGCGGTGGATGCACGCCACGCGCTCACCGGGCGACAGCCGCTGCAGCTCGCGAGAGCCGGCGCGCGCTGCGGGGCAGAGAGGGTGAAGAGGTGACGGGGGGTGACGGGGGTGATGAGGTGACGGGGGTGATGAGGTGACGGGGGTGACGGGGAAGAGAAGGGTGGCAACCAACCCCAGCCCTACACCCGGTGTGGGAGCGAGGGGTCGACGACTCAGAATAGGGGGAGGTAGGAGGAGGGGCACTGAGAACGCCGAGTACACCCGAAGTACAGTCGGTGGTAAAGGGGGTTGCTGGGGATTCGGTGGAGGCGTTTCGTTCGCCAAGAGCAGCCTCCCAGATGCGCTGAATGAAATTTCAAGTGTCTTGTTCATCACCTTCTAGTCTCGCGGCACAGACGTCAGGCGGACAGCAGATGATTAGTTGCCTAAGCCCACTTCATTGCGTGCTAAAGACAACGAAAGCGTTGATAAATCGGTTCGGGCCATTCAAAAGCGCGAATTGTTTTGAGTGTGAGATGCAGTGTGCGTCAGAGGATTTCAACGAGTGTCGCCGCGAATCTTTCTCAACAATCTACCTCTTCGAGTGGCTGATGATTACGTTCAATAGCTGTCTGGAACCGATCACATTTTTGTGGACGCCTACACGGGGTGGTGGTGGTGGTGGGGAGGGTCCAGGGGGGGAGTAGAACCCGCGACTTGCACGAGATGAGACTTTGCGCAGTCTAAAAGACTCACCCTGCTCGGCGAGGAGGTCGGTGGACGCGCTGGACGCGCTGCCGCTGGTGAAGAAGGTCCCCACCTTGCGGCCCGTCAGGATGGTCTTGATGGCCTCCTCCTGCATGCCGTTGCAGATGACCACGCACACCCCGCGGTCCAGCGCCCAGGTGGCCGCTTGCACCTTGGAGTCCATGCCGCCGGTGCCGACGCGCGACTTTTGTCCGAAGCGCACCGACTCCACCATCTCGGCGGTGAAGGTTGACAGGAAGCGGGCGCCCTCCTGGTCCGGCGGCTTGGTGTAGATGCCGTCCACGTCGCTCATGAGGATCAGCAGGTCGGCCTGCACCTCGGCGGCGAGCATGGCGGCCAGCGAGTCGTTGTCCTTGAGGTTGATGGCCTTCTTGCCGGCCTGCGGCTTGAGGTCCTCGGCCTGCAGGGGCGGCGGGCTGACGGCGTCGTTGGTGTTGATGATGGGCACGATATTGAGGGAGATGAGCTCGGTGAGCGTGGAGAAGAGGTGCTGGCGCGTGTCCTCGTTGTAGAAGTCGGGCTTGGTGACGAGCACCTGCGCGATCTTGACGCCGTACTGAGCGAACATGGCCTCGTACAGCGACATGAGGCCGGACTGGCCGACGGCGGCGGCGGCGCGCGGGTCGAGCGGCGGGTGGTGCTCCTCGGGCTTGGTGGAGGACAGCGTCTCCCGCATGCTGAGCGACATGAGCAGCTCCTGGGTCAGCTTCTGCTTGCCGAAGGCCACGGCGCCCGAGGTCACCATGATGCACTCGCGGCCCTCCTTGTGGCTCTCGGCCACCTGCTCGACGATGGACGCGAGGCGGCCCAGCGCCAGGCCGATCTCGTCCTCGCGCGTGATGACGGCCGAGCCGAGCTTCACGACCAGCCGCTTGGCGAACTTGAGCTGGGTGCGGTCGGTGAGCACGGGCCGCCGGCGGTCCACCCACTGCGGCCCGGTGCGCGCCTGGAGACAAAGCGAAGTGTGACCAAGTGTGACCAAGTGTGACCACGTGTGACGACGTCACGCGTCACGTGTGTGACCAGGTAGGGCCACATGTGACTAGACCACGTACGACCACGTGTGACCACGTTGTGACCACGCAGGGCCACGTGTGACCACGTGTGACCACGTGACAAAACGCGTGAAAACGCGTGACTCTGTTTTCGCACCTAAGCCCTTATCGGCTCTGTGTCGACGGCCCCCCATTAGCAGCGCTTCCTTATCGATCGGCAGGCAATAATTCAGACACAAGTAGTGGCCGTTGATCGCCGAGCCAACAACCGGAGAGATTAGAGGACAAGGCGAGCTCAAGTCAGCTGATGCTGCGCCGGCGAGCATACATTAGGGGTCGTGCACAAAGTACTTCATTTTCGACGGGTGGGGTACTTTTATCATGGCACCATATGTTGAACTCAGCTCTGCAAACCGAAGTGTTTGGGAGGCCATGATAACTGTATACCCGGAGATAATTTTTATTTCGGGTGGGGTAACTTTATCAAATAGAGTACCGTGATTAACACGTTGAGTTCCAAGGGGGGGTCGCCATTACGGCTTATTGTGCCCATCCCATACGTGTGGTCACGTGGGACTCAACGAGTTAAAGTACCCCACTTTTGAAAATTGCGTATTTAGTGCACGACCCCGTACACAGAGTACACTTGTAACTTACGTCGGTGAGCCTCAGCATGGAGGTGGTGGCGTTGCGGTGCTGGATGACGAGCATGCCCCGGCCGCGGGCCGCCCCCAGGCCCGCCCCCAGGCTCCGCGTCAGGCGGCTGCACAGCGACATCCTGAGGACACATGCGTAGAAGTGGGGTTGGTTTGAGTCCAAATACTCGTAAAAATTATATTGTACTTGAGATCAGCAAGTAACATTGCAGTCGATTCAAGTATATTGCCCATGTTCTGTAGGCCAACGTAGGCCTTTGTACTGCAGAACTATACCAGTACTGTGCTATAGGGCAGAGTTGGCGGCGCTCACCCTTCCGCCACCGATCACGGCGCCTCGGGGATAGGCAGCCACTTAGACACGTGGACCCTACCCTTAAGTTATCGCTTCGGTCCGCTTCACTCGGCCCCGGCGGACCGCAGTGAACTCTAGTCAGCAGGAATACATTGCAATAATACTACATTGCAGAAACATGTGAGACGGGGCGAGCCGCTATCTGTCCAACAAGGAAGCGCGAAAAGCAGCAGACGTCTTGATGTTTGTCTTAGCACGCCGCTTATAATCATACTGCTACCGAATGCACGGGCGCGGGTGGGTTGCATACTCGCACGGGGGCTATGAGGTAAGGCCACGGTCAGCTCCATATTTTTTAGACATTTCTATTCCGGTACGTAAATACAGCCGTAATATCTGACTTCCCGCGGTGTGTTGCGAACCCACCCCACCTGCTGAGAAACACGGGTGGAAATGCCAAAAACACACACCTAGCGGGCATTTCCGCATACTGGGCACCCTCACTGCATGCGGTGTGCAGATGATATGTTTGTCAGTAATTATATTTATTATTAGGATGGGATGCCCGCC